CGAACAAGAGCGTACGGTATTGTTTTTGAGTGCTTTCTCTGAACAAGGCATGATCAGAAATCACTTCTTGAAGATCTGTTGAGCCTCTGAGGACAAGTACTGATAGGGCCGACCTGCTTATACCGTTCTAACTTGATGATAGCACAGTCTGGCGGCCATCCAGATAATAACCAGAAGCTAACCTAACATCTTGTGTCGTTCGTAACTTGAGGATCCTATTGGTTCTCGCATGCATTTTGATACCGGATATCCAAACGTAGTAGTTCGAAAGATTTAAAATGCAGGACAAGAAAAGCTTTCTAAAGGTATATAATTGTGCTCAAACCTCTACTTCTTAAGGAAGATGCGGTTCCTGTGTTTTCGTTTCATGAGTAAGGCAAAAGCGAACAGTTACTGTACGTACTCTGGTTGAGACCATATGCAAAGTAGCAAAACACCCTCAGCCCTTTAACGACTTGGAGGGCCGGTATGTATGAATATTGCTCCTGCACAAAGCTGAGATTCTCGTGTTTCGGTCATAATACCCCGATCCGAGTATATCCTTGCGAATGGCGTCAGATGGTCCCAGCTGGACGACGTTGATCATTCGTTTCACGAGTTCCAGCATCTCGGAAGTCATCAAAGAGTACAGAATGCACATAACGAACAGATGGGATGGCAATCTAGTCAGGGGTAAAAGCAGGTACCTGGGCCGGGGATCGTGCGGAAAAAATGCCGATGCACCAGGCTCGAACCACGTCAATAGGAGAACTGCACAACTTGCAACTATCAGCCCACAAGCGGAACTTGCGTGGTGTCTGATATAGGGAATATAAAGCTAGAGGGGACTGGACAAGTACTCATCAAGGTAATTAATTGCTCTCTATGCCAGAATTGTAGAGCCTAAAAGGCGAAGTACACTCTTGACACAGAATTGTTTCACCCTCTGGTGAGAATGTGAGGCTATAGTAAGGCCCAGCTTCGATGCAACAATTCACAACAATTCGAAACAGAACACAACTCTCGTACAGGGCTACACAGCCCTTCTTGAGGCTGCAACCCAGAGAAAGCAAGGTATCGTGACTGCTGCGCCGTTACCCAAACCATTTGCAGAGAGAGCCTGTGTCGCCAAGACGGGTCTCATCTTAATGACTAGCAGCATTGGTGGATCTTGTAAGTTCCTTTTAGCAGAGTCCTGACTTTATTAGTAGACCGTGTGTATAATGAAAGAGTCAGTAATTAATAAAACAGAGAATTTATGAATAAACATGTGTCGCTGATTTTTGTTTCTGAAGGCAACATATGATTTCCGTTTGATGCGATTGCTTTTGTTCTCCACTTCTTGGATGGTCGTAAAATACTCGACAATCAAACGTTTCTCTTTTAGCCCATCAGGAAAAAGGAACCCCCTTTATGTATGCAGGCTGCTACTGCAACGTTCCGAAAGCGGGAACTGACAGAAGCAGAAACAGATGCTCTGAGCGTCTCGAACTCCATTGGAACCAGAGAGTTAGGGACACATCCAGGAATGGGCTCACAACATCTGTGAACGGGACGTGGTGTCGCTAGCTTCTACAGTGGTATTCGGCTCTATAAGCTTGCGAGCAGCCAAGACGAGACGAGCTTTTGGAGAACCAAGAACGAGCGAGCTCGGCCTTTGTTTTTGTTAGTGGGCAATGTTTCCGTACCTGGCCTGGACCTGTGCTTTTCGAGCTTGGACTTGATCAACATGACTTCCTTTCTGCCCCATTGTTGAGGTGAATGGCGCATTGCTTTCAACTCTCGCGTTCTGGTGGCAGATCTTCCCGCTTTTACCGATTGATCAAAGTTTGACGAAATCTGTTTTTGGTGGCTTTAGGTGATCTCATGGAAGACCTGGTAGATAAGCTTAGTACCTACTAAGTTAGCTAACATATTCACGCAAGAGGTTGGAAGTCCATGTCATTCATCCTACCCCCTAGGTATGCCACAAAAATTGAAATGATTGACACGGTTCCCTCACTCGCTCTGGCTTCTTGGCTTGGAGGGTTGCTGATTCAGGTTCCTCTCCTCATAATTTGAAAGGCAATATCAAGTGCCTGTAGCTTTGCAGCTAAGATGGCTTCGGGGCCAAACACGGTTCCGCAGGCCCCACCAAAGCCAATCACGCGCGTTCTATGGCTCAATTGAAAGTCCTTTTGCCATGGATGCTTGTCTGCTGCAATAAGAGGAGCATAATTAACTCGTTATTTATGAGCATAACACAGCAGGCAGATCAGGGGCTGGGCTAGGCTCGCTGTTTTCAACGGGTTGTTGGGAGGTCGGAACTTAAAGCTACCTACCTAAAATCTTGATAGAAATCTGTTGTCGATATGGTCCATTCTGAATCAATTGGCTCCATCCAACGTCCTGAAGATAATGTCTCGTCTCCTTATCCCGTTGATCATATCACATCAGCCCCTAGCAAGGTCTAAGGTCCCTCAACAGGGGCCCCAGCAGCTCCCCCCTACCCCCCAATTTCAATGCCAGGGCTCCCGCAGTACAGGAAGAGCCACAGCTTCAAGTGCACGAGCCACCGAGCAAATCCGCCTAAGGAAGCCCCCAGACGGGCAAAAACTTATCGAGCACTCACTGGTCCATTGTCGCCCAAAGTGGCTCCACTGTACGATCTAAACCCAGCTTGTCCTAAAGCTGGTGCTGGTGCTTCCCGCAACTTGGACCTGCTGCTGGCTTTGGTTAGGTAGGCCGTACCTACCTAGCTCGGGGGTTTCCACTGCAGTGCAGTTTCCACCCAGGCCAGGTCCTTCCCATCACATTCTCGCTCCTGCTCTGCTCTCTGCCACCAACTTCACCAAACCTTACCTTCCTTACCTTTACCTTTCCACTTGCACTTGCACTTCCACTTCCACTTCCACTTTCCCTGGCCTCTCACGACGGACCCTTTTTTCTTCTCCTTCACACACCCGTTCCAACCATCACCTTCCGAATACCCTCCCGACCGTCGATCCTCTCATTCTTGTCCGCGTACTCAACCGCTTCACAAGCTCCGACTGTCATTTATTGACTCGAGTCCGACTCTCCGTAAGTCATATTCTATCAGTGATCGAATCGTCGTCGCCGTCAATCAGGGGCAAGCGACAACGGCATATGGGTGCTACAATATCAAAATGGGCATCGGCAGAATCAACCATATGATGGACGGTACTCCCTTGGACTCGTTTGTTCCGATTGCGATGACATTCACCCGAGACAAATTCGATTGACGCGATTCGCCGACCTTCCCTGATCCGTCTTTTGCCCATCTCGATGCTTCGATTACGCTTCGAACTCAATGAAATCACTCCCGCAGCACGCTAACATTAAAGAATTACAGTTCTCAACGTACTCGCGCGCCGAATCACCGTGACTCTCCCTCCGAAACCGCTCTCACTCGCCCACCTCGGCACCCCGTTCCAAGATGCCTCAGTACACTTCTCGCGATGTTGGCGACCCTTCGCAAATCAAGAAGAACAAGCAGTCGATGGCCGATCTCAAGCTTCGACGACTAACTGAGCTCAACAACCGTCTGCGCGAAGATCTTGAGCGAGAGCGTATTCCCGTCAGCACAGCATCAAAGAGGTGAGTTGATCGTGTTGATTCCATACCAACGCGTCAGTAACTAATGTTGTAATAGCATCATCGCCTACTGCAATGGCACTCGGGACTACATGGTCCCCTCCGTCTGGGGTGCTGTTCCTAAGGGCGAGGACCCTTATGCGCCGCAACAATCTGGCGGCTGCTGTGTGGTCATGTAAGGCCACCCGTGATAATCTTTTTTCCTTATTACCGGTTACCAAAATCAACAATTACGCAATGTCGACAATGATTCAGCGATTGGGAGGAGGGCCGCAGTCAATTTTGATATGTTTGTGACGCATTTAAGGGGAGTAAACCAAGGAGATCTGAGTATGGGATACTCAGATGACGGAGGCGAATTAGGCCCTGGATACCAAAGCGCTTGCTAGCATTACCACGACGGCTACTTGGGAAGCTACCAGGAACGACTTGTCCTATTGACGAAGCGACGCGAAGCGCGAGAAAGAGGGAGAAAGCCCATACACAAGATCCAGCTGTACCAGAGGGACCCAGATCAAGATACCCCAAGATACCTTACTATTTGAGCGGGTCATAAAAGCCAACAGCGAGAGCAAGGAAGTCACAGTTGACGGGGAGGCTGGACTGGACTACAGCGATTTAATATTTTCGTCTTGGCGCATGTTATGTTTCTTCCTGCTGGATGGGACATGGATGTTGCTGAGACCAACGATGGGGGAGAGGTTGAAGCACCACTACTACGAGTCTGGGTCTGGGTCTAAAGAAACGGTTTATGGATCGGGCTCTTGCGCGAATGTAATAATTCCCCTTTTTATTATCATTTTTCTGTTATCATCTTGGTGTCATTTCCATCCAATATCGTGTACGTTCCCCAAGCCAATATACTTTTTATCTATGATTTGACGACTTTAATCCTTGCAACTGTTGACCTTGAGGCTTTGAGATATGGACTTTTTACAACCTCCAACTTTTGACCTAGTCGCAATGGTATTTACATTTGATCTTATTACTTATTATTTCCATTCCGTCATCTTTGTCCCTAAGGATAAATCTCCATTTCACATAGTGCAGACTCAGACGTTTTCAGGACTCAACTCTGCGCCCATCCGACCCGACCCGTGCAATTCTTCCTGGTTGCCTTTTGCTAGTAGAGGTACTTTGGGTTACGAGAAGTACCTGGAGATATTGAATATCGTTATAAACTCACATCGGCTAGGTCATAACAACTACTGCCACTTACGCTTCTGGCCTGTGTCAGCCATCTATCAAGTTATGTCAAGGTGTTCAAGCAGAAATGATCATCTATCTCAATATGTCATGCTCTAGGTACAGTAGCCCTGGGAGTACCTGATGTACCTAAGCAGAAATCACAAAGTGGATCACCTGGGTCGAATTGAGGCGTTCTCGACCGCGGGGCTTGCATATGGACATGATTGGGCATCACATCACATTACTGTACAACTGGAGGGGCAAAGGATCTCCCCTCATATAGTATAGTATACAGCCAATTACAATCCCTGTCTAAGGTATCTCAGCCTTGAGGGCATAGATCCCATACTCTTTCAGTCTCGATTCTTCCCTTCGAAGCTCAACATTAAGATCATTTAGTGGAGGAGTTGGTTGCTGAAATCAAGCTCTGATCCCTCAACGCCTCAGAGTTGAAAACTCAAAAGTCCAGCCCAGCCAAGCCAAGAATAAACCACGACGTTCCCGGAAACGACTGCATAACAAAACCAGCAACTGAGAGACGGCGGGAAAAATCATGACAAGCCAGGCGTCGACGCAAACGCCTCTTCCCCGCGTTTCTATCCAGTTTTGCACGCAGTGTAAATGGATGTTACGAGCTGCCTATGTAAGTTGACCGAATCGACGGACTGCTAACATGTGACGAGAAGCTAATGTCCCTCAGTATGCTCAAGAACTCCTCTCCACATTCTCAACAGGTCTCGGTGAAGTTGCTCTTCAGCCTTCTACAGGCGGGACTTTCATCGTGACTATCACGCATCAAGCCCCCGGTGCAGAGATTGCTTCTACAAAAACCCTCTGGGATCGACGGGAAGATGGAGGCTTTCCTGAGACGAAGGAGCTTAAGAGGAGGGTGAGAGATGTTATTGAACCAGGAAGAGATCTAGGCCATGTTGATAGGGATCATGGGAAGAAGAAGGAGGAGAGTAAGAAGGATGAGACAGCGAAAGACAAGCCAGTTGAGGCGGAGAAATGTGACGATTGTCAGTAGAATTTCCAAAGTATCTGCGGTCATGACAGGTTCAATAAATGCCTTCACATGCGGCATTCATATTGATAACGCCACTTGCTGTTCAAGTCGAATCCTCCTCATGTAGGGTATAAATAGATACACTTAAACCTACACACCTATCTGGCCGTTGTCTAAGGAGATAAGTATTATTGTGATTTCATCATAGTCATTTCGTTATCATCCTCGCCTTTGCCGTCTCTCGAATTACGAGTACCATCAACACCATCTATCACTCACGCTAGGATATTACGACACGATCTTCATCACAATTCTTACAGCAATTACCATTCGCTCTAGCACCCTATTCTTCTTCTCTTCCACCACCTCAGCTATCGCTCATCAAAATGAAGCAACGCTTTACCCTGCCCACTCTCCCTAAACGCATCTAAAAGCACAAAACGTATACAGAGGTCGCCCTTGAGCAACGAATAAGACCACAAACCTCGTCCATGAAATGCAACATGACCGTTAAAACACGCTCCCAGCCAGACAGATTAGCCGTTGAAGGATTATCTTATCCTTGTCATCACAAGAAATCAAGTGAGAAACATCAGCCTCTCGAACTGCGTATGTCCACGGGTCAGCCTACGCGGAGCAGACATGGCAAATAAGATTGTCTGTCCCGTGGATCATGTGTGCATGGAATCCGAGAACTGTATGTGCGCGTGTGCAACTCAAAAAACAAGTTTTGTCAATGTTTTATCTGTGTGTGGAGCTAAGAAAAAGCCGTTTGTCGTTATCAAGTTCGCATATAGGCATTAGAGACGATTCGGGTTTCGCAAAAGTCAGCGTCGCGTCCGGCGCCTCTTAAGTTCCGTCACCCTCCCAGTGAACCAACATTTCCTGCCACCAAACAGTGGCAAGGCTAGCTGCGAGACGGCGGAGATTGGGGGTGCGCTTCGATCGAGACAAATCCCGAGTCGAGTCGTTCGTTCTTCGTCGCGATTGTCTTTCACCTCAGTCGAGGAGGTGGGGTGATCGTTTAACGTCGGCCGAACCTGTTGAAAGCACATTGTTGGTATAAATTCTTCAAATCTTCTTCTTGCGAGGGGAGCTGATTGGCGTGCTAGTGCCGCCAAGAGTGGTTGGAACATACTTTTGCTTCTTTTCAGCGGGTTTCAAGATCTTGTAAAAAAATAATTAGTATGTTTATATCGCGGTAAGTATTGCCAAATCCCACCTGGAAAGAACACAGCAAGCTCTCGTCGACACTCATCATCGCACCAGCATTGTCAAATTCACCACAGTAGTTGGGCGCACTGAATAGCGTAACCAGCTGGCGCTTGGAGAAGAATTCGTAGCCATCCTCAACAACTTGATGAGCTCGGCAAATTAGATCCATATCATGTTTCTGAAGGAAGCGCGAGACAACATCCGGACCGAATGTGAATGAGACACCACGATCGTTTTCGCTCCAGCCAGTAATGTCCTTATCGGGATCAGACCACAAGAGATCGCAAAGAAGACCGCAGTCAGGGATCTAAAGATTTGTCAGTATCACTCCACTCAGGACTTTGCGCCTCCATCTAGTGCAGTCCAGGCCACTTACATCAGTAGGTCGCATGACGCGGCGAATCTGCTCCATAGAGTTGAGGTCAGGGCTGAGGCCGCCGTGCATGGTGAAAATCTTCTCGTCGATGATAGCGGCGATAGGAAGGCAGTTGAAGCAGTCGGTAAAGGTCTTCCACAGCTTGATGTTGTAGCGACGCTTGCACTCGTCGTAGAAGCCATAGATACGGTTGATAGAGGCGCACTCGTGGTTACCTCGGAGGATGAAGAAGTTTTCGGGGTACTTGATCTTGTAGGCAAGGAGCAAGCAAATGGTCTCAAGAGACTGCTTACCTCGGTCGACATAGTCACCGAGGAAGAGGTAGTTGGCCTCAGGAGGGAAGCCACCATACTCGAAGAGTCGGAGGAGGTCGTAGTACTGTCCGTGGATATCACCGCAGATCTATCAGGGCGCGGGCAAGTCAGCAAAAGAGTTTTCTTGACTGCCTAAGACCCAGAGCAGAAGCGCCCATACCAAGCACCATTTCTCAAACTGAGGCGGCCATAATGATGGCTAAGAACATACCTTGATTGGAGCCTCGAGTTCGAGGAGGATGGGCTGAGAGATGAAAATCTCACGAGCCTTGGTGCAGAGATAACGGATCTCGGCTTCAAGGAGCTGAACTTGCTTGCCAGGTCGGCTGCCTCGCACCTCGAGTAGCCTGTCGATTATGGAGTCGAGATCGACCTCGTGTTGGTCTGCCATTTTGAGAGAATTTGCTGGCGAGAGGGTGCCCGCAGTAGAGTTAAGGGAGGGTCGCGTGGGGGAGGAGGAAGGCGGCAGACAAGATCGCTACTCAGAACAGCTGCGGGGGTAACTTTGTCGGCCGAAATATGATACTAGATCGATGCACTTCACAAAACCTGGCCGAGTCAGCCGGTGAAACCGGAAAGCAACAAGATACAAGGCAATAAAAAAGAGAGACGTGGGAAAAGGCAAGGTGAAGAAAAATGTCTCCAAACTCGCAAACGCCGCAACCAACAAGAGGGTGAAAATTTGACGATGGATGGATGGATGGATAAATATGAGGCAAAAGACGAGTTTGGGTTAGGTTGCGTTGCGATGGTGGAACAACGAAACGAGGGGAGTCTAGAAAAATTGGAGGGGAAGAAGCCGAGCAAGCATGAAGAGAGAGAGGGCTGTGAGTGCGAAATGGGTACGGGAGGGGAACAAGAGGGGAGACGAGACGGCGCGGCGCGGGCGAGCGAGCAATGAATTGAATGGGGCGCACACCAATACCAACGCCAAATGGTAACTTACCCGTGAAGGGATCCCGTCTCTAATGGAGCGAGCGATTGGTAGATTTTGCGTATCGAAAGATCGAAAGCGCAGAAGAGCAAGTTGATCAGCAATAGCAAATTGAGCCGTCGTTCGATATTGAATTGCAAAAAAAGAAGCAATCAGATCACGTTGGATATGGGGGGAAAACAGTCGTCGTCGTGGTTGCCGCAGTGGGCCACCGACTTTGGTTGTTGATAGCTGCACCAGAAAGAGACGAGGTCAAGGTAGGTACAGGGCGTCAGAAATGAGGGGCGAGAAAGATGCTAGAAGCCAGAAGGGGGAGACAAAACACCGTCAGCGCGAGCGAGTTTTTGTTGTCCTCGTCTTCTGGTCAAGCAAGAGTAAATATTGCGTCAACAAAGATGTGACGCTTCGTCGCCTTTGTAGGATATATAAGCAGAGTGCAGCAAAGGGCCTCTGTATCGTCGATTTTGATGATTTTTTCTTTAAAGTATGAGAAACGATGTTCTCTTCGCCTTTTTTATTTTATTTTATGTTATCGTCGTCTGGTCTGTTGGGGCAGCCAAAGCGGGCGCGCGATCAGGGATTTGGAGTCGGGGGACGGAACACGGTGGTTCGTCAGTCGTCGTCTGGGGCCAAAAGAAAATGGCGGATCAAGTATCAAGCAAAGCAGCTCTTCACAAAGATGAGCGGTTTGAAATATATTCGCAGAGTGTGTTGGCGATGCGGCTAACACGTGGATAAAATCTTCGTCTCGGTCGTCGTCGGGTTGAGTTGAAGGGTTGAAGTTTATCCTCTGACCTGAGTGAACGGAAGGGGGGGAAGTTTTCCAATTTTTCCTGGGCTTTCACACTCGCTCATAAACCCGACGCTTGGGCTTTGGGCTGCCTACACTAAAGGTACCTGCCCTGGTCTGGAAAGACGCTAGTACAGGGCCTGGACTGCTGGGGGTAGCTATATTTTTAATGGGAAGCCGCTATAATTGCATCTCTCACCTGCCCATGCCTCAGTGTGGCCTATCCGACAAGACGGACGGGAATCTTGGCTTTTCTCGTTGACCCAGTACCTAGCATCTGTATACAACAATAGAGACTGGAACGTAACTCATCTTGACATTTCGGTGCCCTCTTCAGTTATTTCTTGTCGTCCTGGGTTACTTGTCTCTTGTCTCGCTTGCTTGGCTCAAATCACCGTCTCATTTCCTTCTCGCTGTAAGTCTCATTTGCTTGGTGCCCGTTGGGTGCCCAGGTATGGATACCCTCACCTCATATCGCGTCTTGAGAAGCCCTAACTGCTGAACCAAAACCTTGGTTTTTTTTCTGACAAGCAAGCTTCGCCAGGGAAAATTGCATCTTTCCCGTCACTATGTAGTTAAAAAAGGGGCGTCTCAACTCTAGAGGCTCCTGCGTAGCTTTAGCGACCGGATTCGTCGGCGCTTAAAACTAGAGCAGCAATTAATAGAGTCCAGGTTAAGTAAACATCAGTTTCATCTGGCTCAGCCTCTCTCGGCTTTCTTAGCATCGGTCCCGTAAGTCCCGGAGAAGAGAGTCTCTTTTCTTATTAGTCAAACACCTTAAAGTACGAGTGAGGAGGATGCTGTCGCATGTGTAGGTTGCGGATATGAAAAGCTGATTCGACATGAAGCGCATCGAGAACAGGGGTTCCATTATTACCAGGATATGATACAAAGATAGACAGGCCCGCAAAGTCGTATTGCGATTGAATACGTAACATCCACTCTTTCCATTCCAGTTGATAACAGCTACGGCAGAGCTCACTGTAGCTCCCTGGCTTCAGACTTAAAAAAGTTGCCTCATCCACTCTTCAACAAGTCCTCTATAAACCCCATGGGATTTCTCAATTGCGCATGCAAGAATCTTGCCACTCAAGCCAAAGGCAACACACAACGGCATATATGTCCTTACTTTTCTGCATGATGCTGATCCCTTTCAAGGTCGATCGAAAAACACCAACCAAAAATCAAGAACCTGGTGCATACGGAGAACTAGCTCTGCAAAGCTAAGCTCAGTTCCATCCAGAAGAGAAAAGAAGCATTGGATGCTCCGATTTAACCATTTCATCCCACGTAAGCTCGATGAGCATGTCGGCTAACAATATGTGTATCACAGCTTTATTATTTGATGACTAGACGAGTCAGATATCAGAACAGACAGCGAGGCACCTATCTTTGTGCTACCCAAGCTCCTTTTAATGAAGAAAATGACCTCAAATTATTCACCGATCATTAATTTCTCGCTCGTCTATTGCGTCAGGACGCGTGCCCCGCTAAGACGCGCAGAAGCCGGTGTATAGACGGTGATGCAAGCAAACGAAGGGACGAGTGTGCTACATCATCATACATCCAGACCGTAATTCCACGTGACATCACAGACGACCTCCATGATCACCACCACTAACAGAATCATAAGATACGCTTTTCCACATCATGACAGATATTCTCCATAATATCATGATCGAATTATGTCACACAGTTCCCTCTGTCCGCTTCTGGTTTTCCTTGATCGCAAGAGGTTTCATAAGTCCTCATAAGACAATCAAAGCGTGCTCGAGATATTTTTGGTCTCAGTAAATTATGAAACTCTGCTTCAAGACTGTACTGATCTGTTCAGATTCCACGATCATTAATCTTATACATTTGTATCGTATCTCCCTAACCGTACACATTCTCAAGCCGCAATCCATCGCTGAGTTAAGTCCGTTCATTCCCATATTCCATATGGGAATCCTCACCAACGCCTTTTCCATCCCATAATTCCTTCTCAAAGGTATTAACCCTGTAGTACTTGTTTCCCATCTTACCCTTGAACGCCAAGCTCATTAGTGCATCTGTATGGCCCTTTATACTTCTGAAATGAACCCGCATAACAAAAATCGCAAGCAATCAAAATGCGCCGGTTGTGATGAGCCTTTGCTTAGTATATGCTTATACGTCGAAGCTCATCTCCTCCGTGTCGATGTCCTCCGCTTCTTTGCTTTACTCGCTCTGGTCTTACCACCCGCGGGTCCTACCTCCTCCTTCACATCTGCCTCAACTGCAGCAGATGCTGCAGCGTGGTCAACATCCATACCCAAGCCTTTGAACTCTTCGTCATCTAAATCTGTAAGATCCTCGCTGAGCATGCGGATGGCATCTCTCCCGGGCCAGCGCTCTTCGAGAACTGATGTTCCCTTGGGGTCATGACCCTTGAGGTACCAGAGTATTCCTCCATCTGTAAGAGGGTCCGCAGGTTCCAATCCAAGACTGCCGTTAGATTGAGGCGGTGTGGGAGGCCCCGGTTGTGCCGGCTGAGGCTTTGACACATAACCATCTGTGTCAGGGGGTGTATTGGATGAATTGGCAGTGTTAGGTAGAGATTCTTGTTTTCCGACGGTACCTGCCTCTGCGAGATCAGACGTATCGACGTCAATATTAGTGCTGACCTCAATATTTCCACTATCTGAAGTAGTGTCCATCGCGTCCCCACCCTCAGTGGAACTGGCCTTAACAGTAATTTGAAGCTCGGCATCAACCATAATAGTGTCGTTGGCTTCATCACTGAGGTCAGTTGGCTTGTCTTGGCTCGTCGCAGTCAGTGGTCGGACGTCCACGCTTCTGTCAATGATGTTCTCCAGCTCCTTCTTCAGGCCCTCGAATGGCTTTTGGGAGATCTCTGACTCGACTCGCAAGGCTGTCTCGAGGTATGGCTGAACAGCCTTCAATATGCGTTTCCCCAACTTTCGACGCTCTCGGATATCCGAGAAAGTGGTTTTAGCAGGTGGTGCGTCGACAGCTGCAGTTTGAGCTGCATCCGTAGATGTGTCAGGCGGTGGTGTTGTAGAAATGCCAGTACTGATGATATCGCAAAGATCTATAGCGAAGGATATTACTGTCACATAAAAGCGGGCATCTATGCGGCTTTGAAGTTTGTCGAGACCGCCCTTGAAGAGATCTTTGTCCAGTCTGAAAAAGTTAGTCCAAGCCAAGATTTGCGGAGCAAGATGCACTTACGATATAGCCCTGTCGACTGCAGGGTTAAGAAGTTTTGCGACAGGAAAGTAACACTCATCCACAAATTCTTGTTCAACCTCACCAGCAGCAACCTTGATCTGCTCCCGTTCCACAAGCTGGGCTGCAAGATCTTTGAGCTGTTCAAGCTCATTAATCAAATTTTCGGCGAATTCAATGCGTCTAGCAAGTCTGATCTTTCCGCTTGGTCCCATTGCTGCGAAGTCACGCCGTGTAAGCTCCATCGAAGAAAACGACTCCATCTGAAGCTGGAGACGCTTCAGGAGTGCTGCTCCTCGACGGTTCTCACGCTTCAGGGTCCAATAGCGACATGCCTCGCTCAGGAACTCCTTGCGCTTAAGAAACGCGAATCTTTGAATTGAAGCTTCGACAACTTCAAATACTGCCTGTGGTATGATAGGTGCGCCTGCAGGTGTTTTCCAGACGTTCTTCGGACTCTGGCCTTTCTTCTTGTCACCAACGGCTGCAGACTTTGTCCCAGTAAGTTGCGATTCATCCGATGGCTGTTCTGCAAGGGCGTTGCGCTGTTGCTCTGCAATAGCATTCGCAACAGCGGTGTTATCAGCCCAGATACGATTCCTCATGGTTCTCTTATAGAACTTCTTGGCTGCCTTTGTGGCCTGTTGAACACTATGCTCTTGCACATAGTCAGGCGGACAATGCTTATCACAAAAGGCTTTGAGCACCATACCGCCATCCAACACAGCGAGAGCACCCTGACTAGTCTTCATCTTAAGAAACAGCCGGGATCTCCGCGCACAGGTGACATGGAATGCTTGATAGCAGTTCTTGTTTCCGCACTGTATGCAGGCGCCCATCCGCTGTCGACAAATATAACACGTCAATTTCCAACGGTTTTTCGGCACCTTTTCTACGTCCATGACTGGTTCCATGAACGTGTGGTTACCTAAGGAAACCTCGGGAATCCACATTGCGCAAAGAAGGTGTGCCCATTTCGAGGAATTTGTTTGCTTAAATGCACCGTCGGTGTTGGGACAGAAGATACAAGTCTGCTTTGAGTCAGTATAGGAGCTTAAGAAAATGCTTTGAACTGTACTTACAGGAACTGAAGGCCCACAAAGCTGGCATTTGCGGCAGAGCCACTGGCCTTCTGGGATAAATGGGACACCATAGCATTCTTGATGAACTGCGAGGTTGCAGCCATCACAGAACACAATCGCATTTGTGTTTTCACAGTCGCCGTCATCGCAAATGGCACATTTTGAATCGGGCTCTTCACCCCCTTGCGGCTCACCATTTACAGCGGCGGCAGAGCTTGATCGAGGACGATGGGTTTGTGGAGGCTTGGGGTTCGGTTTTGGAATTCTTTTCTCAAGCGCATGCCACTCCTTTTCAATCTTTGTCATAGTGATTTCGAAAATTTCTCGTGTTATCGCTTGAAGGTCGTTCTGTTTGCGATGGGCATTGTATCGCCCAAGCCAGATATCGTCTTGTTCATCCATATCATACTCGACACGACCGATTCGTGTATGATGTACTGGTTCGTCAGACGCTGCCGTAGCATCGGTCAATTCTGCATCATCTTCCATGGTAAGATCAGAAGATTTGATTAGAGTTTGCTCTGGGCGCAGGTAGTGGTCACTCTCTTGATAGCCGACATTACTCATGGATTTATCAACATAGCGAGCCTGGCCAAAAGTTTTGCTCTCATATAATTCGATGCTGTTGGTTTTACGATATGAAGGTAGTTTGAGATCCAGCTTCTCTTTCGGTGTCTGGTTTTGTATGGGTAGAATTTTGGGTGTTTTTGGTGTTGTGAGAAAGTCCAGAGGCTTGCTGCTGTAGAAGCTGACCACATCTCGGGTCGGTCGACGAGGGCGGCGTAAAGGTGTTTCAGTAAGAACATCGGCAGCATTCGACTCTGAGCGACCTTGAGGATTTGGTGTGTTTCCAGTTGATGCGGGGTTTGGTTGTCTTGACGGAGTTCGGGTTTCGTCCAAAGGTGTTCCAAATGTCTGAGCCACTGATGAATCAGGTTGTTCTTGGGGTACGCCATCAACCTGTTCAGAACGCAGAATCATGAACGTAGCATCGATATCTAGGTTAGGATGGAAGTCCTCCCAGCTGCGCTCCTCGCGGGGCTTATAGTCTTCAGCCTGTTTCACAGCAGTCGCCATAGCTGCAGCTGACCCCCATTGCATTTCCTCCAAACCATCATTGCCAGTAGCCCGCGTGCGAGCGCCTCTTTCTCGTCGAGGCATTATGGATGGAGAAGGGCCATTGATAGCCTCGCGCGCAGCTGCTCTTGATCTCGATGCTGTTGAAGGCCTAGTGGTATTCGGCGTGGCTAGTAAGTCAGCATCAGCGAAGCGACCACCGCCACCGGCCCCTCCTGGAATATATCGACGTCGTTTTGGGGGTGGTTCGGTTGCGGAGGCTGCCGCGAGAGCAGCCCTTGCGGCACGAGCAGCATTGGTCGAACCCGGAGGACGACCTCGACGTCTTCCGGTAACGGGTCGCCTAGGAGTCGGAGATGCCGGGGCCATCTTGAGCGAAGCTAATGGCGATGTAAACTTGAAAATCGAAGTGTCGCTGGCGCAAGCTTGAGATGGATAATCGCGTCAAGGGGAAGGTGGCGCGCAGGCTCAGTCCGAAGCTTGGCGAAATCACCAGTCATTTGAAAGGCGCCATACACACCAGAAGAGCTTTCTCTTTTATTCCCGTAGGATTAATCGTCAAAGGAAGACTTGTTCGGTGAATAAGATGATGGGGTTCGCGACTGCAGAGGAGGTGATGTTCTGCCTCGGGCAAGGAACGCGTGAAGTTGGCGTGCACGGTCCCTGTTTAGTCAGCGGCATTCAAGGTGAGGGCTGACATAAAAAAGCCACCAGACTCTTATCGGGAAAGGATATTTCTGCGCAGTATAAGCGGCGAGTTGTTCAGCTTAAACTTTCTATATGTTTCGACAGTGTGACTTGTTAATGCAGCTCATCTGCCTGTTTGTCTCTTTCTGGCCTAAGCTCATCGACTGCATCTGCAACGTGGGGAAGCAGATCTAGCATTTCGACGGAATTGCTTGATCAGATCTGACACGACTCATTGTACCTGGCATTGCTGGCCTCAAGTGACGTAAGATCTCCCATGTCAAACGCCGTTGTTTTTTTTATCAAGTATTGCCAAGATTGGTTTCCCCAGTTCGCAGATCGCCGTTGTTTGTTGGCGCTTGAAACCCCAGCCAGGCCATCCCGATTTAGAAATAAACCGGGAGAGAAGTCTCTTGACCTTATGATGAGTATATAATCTGATCCTAAGCTTGTCTATACCTACATTTGAGTGCTTAAGAATATTTCAAGGAGATGGATCACTAATTGGTAGTTTTTTCCTCTTTCTCTTCCTCTTGCGCCCACCTGAACAGGGCTTGTTAGTGACCCCAATGGCAATTGATGACTCTTTGAATAAGACTTGTTGGCTCCGTAAATCATCGAAACAAATGCCGAAGCAAGATCTAGAGATCTGCCCAGGGTCTAATTTGAGATCCTATCACTTGCTCTCCTGATGCCCACTCTTGTTGACACTTTGACGCCCGTGTAAGCGAACTGGGTCAACACTGCAACAGCTCATTACCGCCTTTTCACTTGACACACAATTACAGTCAGTATCATTCATGATGAGATATTAAAGCATTTCAAAATGTCTCACCCATGGTTAAGAACATTTCTTCACCGCCTGGCATCCATATCACCAACTTTACATCGCCGGCAGCAATGCTAATGAAGCTAGATTCAAGCACCCACAGAACTACTCCGACGCTTGAGGTGCATGAGAGCTTATCCATATTCACGATGGCCTCAGATCTAGCGACCCTAGTACCTGTCCTTGGCCGCGGGGCCATCCGCTTCGATCCACTCCGTTGCCTCGGCGGCCGGCCCCAGAACGAGCACGACTTCCGGGCGGATCCAGGTGCTGGCGATTCTTGTTAGCGGTCAGTGACTATCGATGCTTATCAAGGGGTGCATCGTCACTTGCGTGTCTCGTTATATGGCGTTTCGGGACCTATTTGAAGTTAAAAGCTTGCCCATTGCAACGGTGACAGTATTGTGAAATATCATCAAAGAAATATGTCATTTCTATGCCAGGTGATGCAGGTGATCGTAGATAGATAACCCACATCAGGATTTGAGACCACAGGCTAAGATCCCTCCAGGCACTATGGTTGACATTGGTAACCTTGTCTACTGGCTGGGTTATGAATACTTGGCTGTTGGCTTTCCTTTTGGAAGTTCGTTTACTCTCGCTTGTTGAGGCTTCTCTGGCCGCACCGGAACAATACTATTATCACCATGGTGCGATTTAAATATTGCTCTCATTTCTCATGGGTAACAGGAAGCTCCAAGAGAATGAGGCGACACAAGGATAATCACATGCCCTACCATCGCTAACGACTTGAGAGAAACACCACAAATAGAATCACAGGACTTCATTGCTAGCCACAGCCTGAATTTCTCAAATCCGAACGCTATCACTACTCTCGTCGCCACCGTGATACTGTCATGGCAACTATAATTGCGAATGACCTCGAAGCTGGGGTATTGACTCAGCCATCCAACACTAGATTCACCCATGCTGCCATGCTCACCAAAATATCTTATGTCGCACCTCGCCCTGGAATGATGACGCCTCTCCACGGCTCAGATATTGGCCAAGCCATAAACTTACCCCCCCAAACCCTTCAGTCTCTCACTCAGCCTGCCCCTCCATCAACACCAAGTGAAGTTCTCTGTGTACCTTATACCAGCGGCTAAGCCAGCCCACCATCTCAATGTTCTAGCTATGTCAGGAACAAAATCGTCCAAAACCATCTGATCATGTCTCTTTCAACACTACAACACTCGAACTAATCCCAAGCCTCTTTGATCCATCTCCGATTTGGGGTATCAGGCTAAAGCCGGCTGACCTGGTCACTTCAGCCAATAGTCTGGCCCATCTCTTGGCTTCTTCCGCGACGGCATCATTGGAGCACGAAAGGATCATTTCCTTCCCGGGGTTGATGAGCCACGCCGGGTGACCTCTGAAACCATTCTTAGCGATGATCTGTGCACGTTCACGATAACGATTCCACACCCTGGGACAGTGGGAATACATGATTATTCCATGATTATTTGAATTCCACAACAGCAATGCAAGAGGACAACTAGAGGCATCAAGTGCTTGAACAGATCAAAGATTTCATGCATTACAACAATCTCCAATTCTTCACTATAGTTGCCTCAGATCGTATAGCCTTCAAACCAAGTGAAGTCTTTTTTTTCTTCCAACCATGCCGTAAAATCAAAAATGCAAAAAGGCAAATGCCCTTGACCTTCCAACGCCATGTCCAGACTCCTACGTAAAAGCAAAAAAACAGTACAGGTTCACTCTCATTTCGAATGAGAATAACAGGCGTTCTTTAGATGAAACCCTTATCCTCTATCAGAGGCTCTTGAAATATGTGATATCTCTGAACAAGGGGGAGAGGAACATGCATGCTCCAGAAAGGAGAAGCAACGATGAAAAGTAACGATGAGTTCTTATACTCAAACAAATGCAGATACGTCATCTGCCCAAAACGCCGCCTCGCTATGCTCCATGATATCGTTTCAAATGCCAATAAAAAGTAAAATACGAAGTGGTCGAGCTTGAGTTTTTCAGACTCAGCTAGACAGAGAATCGAATCATACCGAGGAGTCCAGCATGCTCCCACAGTAGAGAGGGTATATGGGTATCATATGGGTGTCGTCTTCCAAGTCTAACTCTGCTGGTATCTCATCTTCAATTTCAGCCCAAGGTCCGACCACTATGGATGGCTTGAGCCTGGGGGGCATGGATGGGAGTGTGTGCTGTGCGCATGGCTGCACCGGATGGGATGTTAGGTGTGGAATAGTCTGTCGGACGATTGGTGGTCCAACCCTCTTCGCTCAAGACAGAAAGGTAGCTATTGCCGACAGTATTCCGCAAAGCCTCAATCTTCTGACGGTATATTTCACCACCGGCGTCCCAATCCTGAGATTCCTTCCAATTGGAGGCATCATCGTTGGGAGAGTAAGCAGCTGGGATGTTGGTGAAGATGGTGGTGTCAACTCGTGGTACTTCAGGTGAGCTGGCAACTTGTGAATCGGTGGATAGTGTGGGCGGCGACAAAACCTGGGCTTCAGGTTGCTGGGATATCCGGTAATTGCCGTCATTGGTGACCGGAGACTTGGGCTGTTTGCCAGCCGGCTTCGCTACTTGAACCTCGACGGGGGCTGGGAAGGATGGGGTATCAGAAGTGGCCAAATCCACGATTCGCCTCTTTGGAGTCTTTCGCCGACGTGTCGAGCTGGTGTTGATTTCACTCATGACAGCCTTAGGCGTAGGCCGTTCCTTTCGGAGGACAGCTGGCTCTTTGGGAGGATTGAAAATAATGGCAGGTTTGCTGACATCGACAGTGGGCACCTCAGGAGCCTGTGGCTTGACGACGGGGATGGAATCAGGGATAGGGGGGCGGTCAACCAGTGATCGTCTTTCAACGTAACTTGGACCACTGCCGTCAATAATCACGTCGTCGGTATAGCCTGGGGCTTTGCGGAAAAGGTTAAAGATGGTGATACGATAATCCTTGTGGGTACGAGTGAAGGGGTTGCCCTCAACCCAAATCTCGTGGATGTCGGGGATGCCTGTCAATCTCGCCAGTTCCATTGGGTCGACCAGACGGTTATCTCTCAAATCGAGTCTCTCGAGAGGAACCAACTTCTCAACGCCAGCAAGGCTCTGGAGCCTGTTCGCTCGGAGGTTGAGGGCTGTGATGGCAGGAAGAGGGTTGCGGGTCAACGATTGGAGAGAATCGATCATACAGTGAGACAAGTTCAGAGCTCGAAGGGCGGTTAAAGTAGCCAGACTGTCTGGGACCTGGCTGAAGAGGTTGGACGAGATATCGAGAGAGTAAAGTGTGTTGGATAGGGGTGCGAGACTGTTTTGCGGAATGGAGGTCATGGAATTATCAGCCAGACTCAAGTGTCGCAGAAAGCGCCACTTTGAAGCGGGGAGAACGCCCATAGCAAGTAAGTTACCAGAGCTACCTCGAGAATGGTGATGGCCAGTCCAAGAATCAGAAAGACTGGAGTGAGAACTACCAGATCCAGATCGCCTCATACGGTGATGGTTACCTCGAACAGGGTGTGACTGTGTTCGAGAGCTGGTAGGACGTGGAGGTGAATTGCTCCTGGGACGAGAAGTCTTATGCACAGCTTGTGAAGTGTCATCTTGCTCGTCATCCTTGCTCAAAGACTGCCTACGACTGCTCTCCTCAATAGCATGTTCACTTGGGGTCAATGAACCGACCCGCATGTCGACGTGTGCACCAGGGGAGCTTGGAGCGGACACCGCTCGGTGAAGCTCGGGGTGAGCAATATTACGACGAGGACTTCCACTCCCCGTCCAAGCCGAAGTGGGAGAGGACTGGGACTTGGAAACCCGTCGACGGCGTTTGTCCATATCATCCAAAACGATGTCAATCAAGATATCCGCGGGG